TGAGTCAAACTCCATTTTCAAAACAGGAAACATTAATTATTCATCGGTGTTCAGTTTTGAACATCACTATTTTTCAGCAAGGTTTTCTGTGACGGCTGCGATGATACATTGCCCCCTTTAGCTGATGTGGAACAAGATACGTATGGATATATTTAAATCATATTAAACGTTGATGAAATTTCATTAATTTTTAGCTTGTTCTCTTTCTCTTCATGAATGATATTCAGTGAGATCACAGCAAATAAATCCAGTCTCTTGTAGTATGAGTATAAAGCCATGTCCCTGTGGAAGGTAGAGAGCAGTCAGTGTGCCCATGACACACATGGTCTATCCGTTTGGTAATGCCAAATAATGAGAAAATGATGGGCTTGGTTCTTTATATGAATATAGCATTTCCATGTATTGCTAAGATTATCACATCAGATGGGGTTGGAAATGATTTCTAGCTTATTGGTTGGAGTTGTTCTGTAATTCTGTTGAAGTCTTTCTGCTTGCAGCTATGCCTTGCCATGTGTTAATCCAGCCATGTTTTATGCAAGCAATTCTGTGGATGATCTCTTCAGCTGCAGTTTATTTATGTTTAAATTGGATATTAGTAACTTTTTTTTCCACATGAGGATGTTTACAAAATTGCAGTGTGAAGGAATTGTTACCTTCCCTGTACTGTAGGACATGAACATTTCTAACAGAACGGCCTTAGGGAAGTGGAAGTTGGTAAGGAAAGCACCAGGCTGGGATGAGCACTTTATTTGTGAACACTATCAGCACTAGTTTAAATGTATCCAACAGCTGCAGCATCTCACTTCAAGGACCCAATTATGTCTCTGGTTGCTGTGTTTGACCCAAAGGCTTTGACTTTTTGTGCAGTGAGAACCCTGCCCACATGGCTGTTCTGAGGCAAGTGGTACCACTGTGAATTGGCTCCTTGGTCTCTCTGAATTAAGAAACTGTATGGAAATGTCATAAGGCTCCAAGTGGGTTTTTCAGATTTGTCACAGGAAGACTTAAATATGCTTTGACAGGTCAAGGTTGATGTCCACTGGGAAGAAGGAAGTTGCCTCTTACTGAGGAGACATGAAGTAGCCATGGAGGGAGGCTCCCTGAAGAGTACCTGTGATGCTTTTTTGAGACCCAAGATCTTGTGAAGGATGGGTGAGAAGAGAAGCTGATAGACAACACAGCATGTGCTGAGATGCTCCTAGGACCATATAGCAAAGTTAGCACCTCACAGACCTACAGCAAGCAGAAGATCTTGTATGATCCAGAAGCTAGTTAATGTCAACTAAATCCAGCGTGGGGATGAAAAAATGCTGACAAGGCCAAAAGGCTAGGAGCCAGACTGCCCAAAACCATTCATCAACATCACATAGCTGTCAGAAGAGGAAGGAGCTCAGGGAGCAGCAGACAGGTTCAGCTCAGGGAGGACATGTGGGAGAGCTGGAACTGCTGTTGTCCTTCTACTTTGCTTTGTCTGTTGTCATCACCCTGCTTCCTCTCTGCTCTCAGCTATTATACTAATATTATTGATTTAATCCCATCACTTTTCCAAGAGTTTTGGAATAGTAGTGAGTTATTCCTCTTTAGAAAGAAGCAATCCTTCTCCAGGGAGATGGGTGTGGTAGAAAAATGAAAAGGGAAAGTTTCTGGCTGAATGTTGGGCATATCACAGGCCCACTTGCTTTGGAAGAGGAGCTGTTGGCAGGAGAGCAGTCAGAAGACACATCCTACTACCATGTGTGTTAATTGTGAAGAAAGATGAAGATGCTTGCCTTTGGTGAGGGGAAGATGTGTGACTCAGAAAGCAAAGATGCTGCCTTTATGAGAACTTCTCTTTGGATTTTAGGAGAAAGCAGGTCTTTCAGCAAGCCTCTGCTGTTGTCATGTTATATGTTTTGTCTATGTATATCTAAAAGAAGTAAAATTAAGTAAAATAAAAGTTTGGCTTTTTGTTATTAGTAGGTAATCACCTCCAATCTATTTTTTATCCTTGGTCTGAGTAAGCTGAAGTATAGGGAAGTAAGATCAAAGTAAACTTCTGAGCTGGCAAATTCACAAAACCAACCTATCTCATGTTTCAAGTACAGGCAGTCACTTCCTTTAATGTGCCCTCTTCAACTTCCATCCTACATTTTTAGTGCCTCCTTTGGATTTTTTTGAAACTAGATCATGGTACTTTTTCTGCTGAGAGCTGAATGCCCTTACAGGTTCTGACATACAACTAATTTGATCCCAATGAAAATGTGAGATATTACGGTGTTGTTGATGATTCACAGACCTATTTTCTCTCTGTTCTGCTGCTGTGATCTCTAGCTACTCAGCTTCATTCCAGCTGTGGCTGTCTCAAGATGTCTTGTAGCATCAACATTGTTCAGTTCAACCCCCTTGGATAATTTTGCTCAAGGCAGAAAAGATAGAGTCAAAAGTAGGGCTGAAGAGATACTGGGTACTCATGCTCTCACCAAACAACACTCAGATCCCAACATGCAGCACATGCAGTTGTTTCTAAGTAGCTTCTTGTATGATATTTGCTTTGTGCTGTGCTTATCCTGGCATCTCACCTTGATTTGCTTTACTTTGCCTCATCTGTTATGTGGGCAAGGCATGATCGAGAGTAGTTGAATGTGAATGTATTTTTGTGTTAAGAAACTAGAAGTTACATGTGAATACATACAAAACATCAAAGGAAATTTCCTTGAAGTTCCATGTGCAAAGGCATTCACTGTGGAAAACTCAAGTCTCTTTTGCTCTGGGTGTGCAGTCTTACAACCCAAACATGAGTTGTTCTCGTTCTTGGCCAAGTGAGTCATTAGATCTACCTTGTGTACAGAGGAATGTGATTATCGATCCATGCCAATGAAACGTATCATACTTCTATTATTTTTACAGCAGTAGCTGCATGCAGGGACAACATAATAAATAGTTAAACGTCTTCCAGCTCATAAATGTTACCAGTTTATTACTCTGTTCTGGATTACTATTGTCATTCTGGTGGGAAGCAGAGGGGCCGTGTTATGAGTCATAATGCATATGCAGGGCAGAATTCATCCTCTCAGCAGAACTTTACAGTAGATTCAGTGAGGAACTGGATTTCCCTCCCTTATTTTCTTCACTTTCCGTTGTTAGACTGTGTGGAATATGGTGTGTTTTGACTAATGACATGTCAGTTATTGATTATTGGAGCAGTATTGTACATCCAGCCAATAGGATTTCATAGAGCATATATTTACAGTGTGGGACTGTGATTATCTACTGGCTTTCCACAAGCCACTGAGCATATGACTCATGTTAAAAGCTTTTTTCTTAATTATTTCTTTCTTATTAAAAAAAAAAAAAAAGTATGTTTCTTCCTCTTGCTCTAACACAAACCCTCTGTCGGATGTGAGGCTCCAGCAGTGACTCACTGGGCAATGAGGCAGCAGTCTCAGACACTGTAATGTGAAGCAGAAAGGTCTTGTGCTTGCTTTCATAACAGTGTTATTCATTCATTCATTAAAAATTAAACACACAGAATACATGACGTTTTCAAGTTTGCAGATATCAGTGAATACTTTCTTGTTGTTTCTTAACTTTTTGAGAGTTGAAGTTGCTTCAGTGGTTTTGATCTTTGTTTTGTTTTATTTGGGAGTATCTACTGTTACAGTTAGCTATAATTCCTATAACAGAGCAGTGTATGTCAGAGGGGCCCTACAGATGGGGATTCAGTTTCAGAATTATGTCTTAATGGAGTAATGGATGCATTTTTAGCTACTGTAATGAGTTTATATTTGTAAGAAAATTGTGACTTCTATATTATTCATCTCTTTTTCACTAGAAGTTGCTGGTTTCCAATTGTGATTTTAAAGTGGGGTTGTTTTTTATTTTTTGAAGTGGAAAATCAATATGCTCCAATGGCTTGTGATGTAGCTCCCTGATAACATCTCTGTACGTTATTTCCCATGTGAGAATGCAACATTGAAAGCTTTGATTGGTCAGAGCTGAGTGCGATGCTATAGAATTTAAAACGTTTGAAGAGCTATAATGTGTTACATAGTTTTGTCTAGGCCAGTATATGGCCTCATTGGCCACTGTCAGGTGCTGTGACAGTGTACAACAGTGGGCTGAGCACATAGTGGCAGACAGTAGCTTGGGATTGCCTTGAATTTGAGGTGATAGTTTTGAGGTAAGTAGATTCAGAAGGCATATTGTGTGAATTTGTCTCAGTGCATAAAAACTGAAGCTGATTCAGACATCTACAGCAGTTTGAGGCAGGAAGCTTTCCAGTCTCAAGAAACAGAAGGTGAAGAACTATCTCCTTATAGTAATACTAAGCTGGTACTTGACAACTTAATTTGATGCTAGACTGTGTCTACTTTAAAATGAAAAAGAAATGTTCTGCTTCTTGCTGCTGCTGTGCCACTTGTTTGGTGGATCTCCAGCATATGCTCCATTAGTTCTCTTACTAAAAAAGATCAGTCCATGCCATTGTTTCGTGTCTGCTTTGGAGCATTGTTCCTGCTCTTTTCTGCATCTTTCCAAGTTGTAAGATGTTAAGATGAGGAGCAGAACTACGTGTACTGTTCATGAAATGGTAGGCCGTGAACTTACTCAGAGAAATAATTAGTTTCTCTGTCTTCTCTGATTTTCCTAGTAACTGGCAACTTAGAGATTGTTCCTTTCTTCCCCACAACACTATTTCTCACTCCTGTACTGTATACAACCTGCTGACTTGAATTTGGTGAGACTGTAGGAATATACAAGTGACAAGATAAAATTTGGGCTAATGGTTTCTGTTACTCTAAAGCTCTTCCTGACGTAAGCAAGCCCTGTTGGAAGCTGTTGCGTTGGTGAGTGTTAGAGTGACTTTAAAGCCTATTCCTAGCAATGTTCTAAGCAATTTGTTCTTTTCAAGAGCTGGGTAATAACTGAGGGTGGCTTCATGATCCAAATGCACATCTAACTGTTCTGTACTGGTACGTTAGCAAGCATACGAATTTATATGTTTATTTTCTTTTTAATTGTAGGTATTTATGAGCCGCCATTTGTTGTACTATTGTGGTGAACCTACCCTGGATGTGAAGATTGCCTTTTGTCAGGTGTGTGTTCCTTACAGGTAAAACAAGGTACAGTATACACTTGTACTTTATTTTTACATTTATGCTAATAGAAAAAAAAAGAAAATGTCTGTAGCAAATTGAGAGTAACTAGCTGTAAGAATTAGAGTAAACATAAAAACCAGAAAAATGCATCACAGAAAATTTCTATTTAATTTGATTGTCATCGTTTGCTCTCAATGATTTTTGCTTGCCCAAATATCTGTTGATGTGATGAGAACAAAAAGTCTTGGCTGTTCTTCCCATAAACTTAATGATGAGACATTCTTCATCCAAAATAACTGCACCTATATAAATGCTTTCATGGAAATATGTGAATTAGATTTATTTTATCTTACCATCTCTTTATGTGAGACAGAGGTTTTTACATTGTAATCAATGAATACAATTTTCTGTCCATTAGTCTGCATTTGCTGGGAGTATGGAAAAAGTAATTGAATTGGTGTGAGATTTGTACTGTCCTCAGTTGAACAAAATATACTGTGCAGGTTGTGGGGTCATGAGACTGTGCTATAGCCAATTCTGCACTTGATATCAGCCTTGAAATTGTTCAGTCACAGTGCTTTAAAATCTACAGAGCTCAAACTAACTTTGAGCTGAAGAAAACTGTATTTTTATGCCCAATTTTTGGTTCTGATGGTTAGATTAAGTTAGTTAACATACATAGATGTCAAATCACTGAATGTGTTTTTCCAGTATGAATTCAAGGTGATTTTTTAGTTGACTTCTTATGAAACATTTTGCGTTTGAATTATTTCTTGTTTTTTGGTTTTGGTGGTGATGTTGTTGCTTTGAGATGGAACCCATTATTGGACTTCTTGAGGGAGACTAGGGAACAGTCTTCATTTTTTGAGAGGTGAGAACAATGTTGTGTTCCTGAAAATGGAATTGTAGTAAACACCAGTACTGCCCTTTATGTTACTTACCTAGTGTCAAAGACAGTGAAGAGCTGAAGGCTGTGAGCTGTATGTAAGCAGTTAAAGTGAAACAGTGATGTGTATTGGAAATTTTACTGTCTGTTTTTTTTAACTCAGTAGTGCCAAATATTGGTTCTGCTGGGAAGGCTACCTTTGAACTTTCAAAAGCTTCAGCATTTAGTTGGATCTAGGCTATTTGCTTTGGAAAACTGCTTAACAGCCTTCTATGTCCTTTCTTACCTCCTATTCTCTGTGTGCATGTGATTTTCTAACTTGTTTAATTCTTCCACTTTTTTTTTTTGGCTCAGTTTGGATAATTGGATCTGTGGACTGCACAAACAGTCCGAAGTATCCTCCTCAATGAAAATTTTTATATATAACTTATACAATACATATCTTTCAGACCAGGGAGAAAGAATTTTGGAAGAAGAAAGGATTTTTTTTTTAATTTTTTTTTCCCCCACAAAACAGTGCTTAGGTAATTTTTTAGACAGAGCTTACTTGTGGGAGGAAAAAAAAAAAAGAAAAAGAAAAACAAAAAAAAACCCACCCCCCAAAGTTTTTGAGAAAATTGCAAAAAAAAAAAAAAAAAAAAAAAAGGGGAGGGGATTCTACACTATTCTACACTGAGAAGTTCTTTTCAGTGTACAGAATACAGTGTTTTGCACAGCTAACTATCCTCTTCCTTTACATAAATTAAAGAAGAGCTGTACAGAAACATTTCTATTTTACATGTGCAAGGAAAGATATTTCTATCATTTCCTGCTTACATTCAGTGCTACTTCAGCCTGGATATCAGTCAATTCCCAACAATGTACAGTGAATGCTTTCTGTCAAACAGTACCCAGTTCTTGATTTAGTCAATAATCAAAACATGCTGCTATAATTAATCTTCTGCTGATACTCCAGTTTAATAAGAAGTGCTCATAGAATCATAGAGCAAGGTTGGAAAAGACAGCTAAGATCATCTAGTCCAGCTGTCATAGCCACAAACAGTACTTAATGTCATATTAGTGCTTTTGTTAAAGAATATCCGATGAAATCAACAACATTTTGGATGAATTCTTGTAACTGGTGTTGGGAATATCCAAGTAATTTCGTCATGGCAGTATCTCTGGTAAAAACAGATTTTATTTGCAATTGCAATGGTGGGCATCTCACAAGCTGGAGCACACCTGTGGGCGCATTAGTACAGCTTTTGTGCCTTGTGCCCCCATGCCTATCCCCTCCCCTGTTTTCCCATTGGCTGGGTACTCCAGATTCACAATCTTACCCAAGACTTGCATTTGTTAATTACATTCTAACACTTGTTGATTCATGTACTATCTTGCGCCAGTCAGTCACAATCCTGTTTCCAAGATGTCTCAGTACTCTCCTTATCACACTGATATGGTGGTCCTCTCCAAAGTTTCTTCCATTCTGTCCAAAGGCCGCTTCCTCTGTTAAACAAAGAGCCCCAAGGGGAGTGATGCCAGGCCTTCCCAATGCCTCTTCAGGGCTTCCTTGGGCACATCATGACTTGTTCTCTGGTTTGATCAATCTTGTGCAGGATTTTTTTGCAATGTGTGTGACAAAAAACTACATATATATTCATGCTGACTAGACATAAATTGTTGCTAGCTATACAAGTTTATTGCTAATTATTTATCTTCTCTTTCTTAAATTCTCCATTACTCGGGTCCTGTCTGCCAATACCAAATATCAGTAAGGCTCAGAGGTATTTCAGAAGGCTGGACAGACAGGACCTGCAGTCTTTGTGCCCATAACCTACTACCTAATCTCTATGATTTTAAATTACTTCATGTATATACTGAACATGCATTCCTGGGGAAGATTCATCAAGAGGATAGGGAATGCAAACTATCAGAGACCTCTCCCCAAGTAAAGTAAAAAGACTCCCAAAAAGAACTATGGTGGTGGAGACCATGAAATAAAAAATCTTGCTCTAATGCAGAAACAACATTTGATTCCCACACTGGGTGAAGCCAATCCAAGGTAAATAACCATGGCAGTATCCGAAGAGGAGTCATTCAAGAGTGCACGAGATACTACTCTGTCATTACAGGAAACAGGGTTTTGTCCTTCCAGCACCTGCTGCACAAACAGCTCTTCATGATCCTCATATCTTCAGATGTATACCCTGAGGATTAAAGCTAGTTTAGGCTGCTTCTTAATTTATTTTCTCCAAAAAGATAGGCCCTGATCCAAATCACACTCAACCACATACTCAGCTTTAACTACAAGAGCAGCCCCTTAGAATTACATATTTTATTGCATTAAAATCTCAGCTCTTGTGGATGCTGTTCATGTGTACTGCAGAGGGCAGGACATGGGATATAGGTGCAACCTGGTAACGTTTGGTTAATCATTTGGTATAATTTTAGATAGCATTCAGCAGTCTTCACGTAGTAATTTTTATTCCATATTTATTCACAATGCTAATGGAGAAGTCAAATACTCTATGATTTACTGTGGTCCGAATATAAAGAAGTTTCTTTGTAACTTTTGGAAAATTGTATGGAATCAGGAAGCCTTAGAGCTCCCCAGCAGCAAGATGTGGGCACTGCCACTCAGTTCTTGTGGTGAGTGGGAGCCAGCCAGCACACAGATAAGAGACCCCAAAAATGCTGTTTTTGGTGAACTTAATTCAGCTCATTAATTTTTTTTTTTTTTGGTCTGGTTTAACAGATGCCAAAATTTCTTCTGCTGTACAAATATCCAGCAGGCACCAGCACAAGTCAGCATTATGCAGTTGGATGCTGCCCTGCTTATCTGTCAAGATGAGAGCTTCTGGTGGTCATGTGCTGTAACATAAGATTTTTTTTCACCGGAAAAATCTCTGACTATCCCAGTTCTATGTCTAATATGTTGACCATGTAGAATAGAATAGCTAATGTGGAAGATGCGTGAGTAGTCCTGCTCCTGTTGGAATGCATGCATCACTGTGGACTTCCCACCAAATACTGAATTGTTCTGAAGTGTTCTTTTAGAGGTGACGTGTTGCAAAATACCCCAATGATTGTTACCACTGAGTGCATATACTTCTTATAGTAACTGTTGTGTGGGGACTTCTCTCTCATCTCCTGAAGTGCACAGCTTTGTGCGCTGTGGCAGGAAAAGACATCCACCTATAGGCTGCTTGTTTTAGCATACAGCATATGGCATTGGGTCTGCTGGTTTTATATGGCACAGTGCTAACTCAGCATGGTGAGAATATGAAGAATTTCCAACTTAAGAAAAGAGAAAAGCCCTTTTTGAGAAACAAATCACGATCGGGGAAATGACTTCTACTTATTTGCAATTAAGTCTATCATTAACTGCAATTTCATAGGCTGATGTTTTTCTGGAAGAGCTGAGAAAAATGACATCTGCTTTTGAAAAACAGAAGGATGGGACAAAGGTACTTAGACTTATAGAACTTCATTGATCGTTAGTAAGGCTGCTCTTGTCAACAGGCCACATCTTTAGGGTTCTGGACATTCCTACTGAAGCACAACGTGACACAGACCCCTGGATTTTGAGTAGAATAAGATGTTCAAGTGCTGAATAATAACTAACAATGGATGCTGCCAACCAACGTGAAGAATTGTACCTGGCAGAATTTTCACATTTCCTAAACGTTAGCTGTATAGGATGCATTTATTTACACTTCATTTGCACACCCCCCCACACATTTTTTGCAGGACTCAAGAGCAGTTCTGCAGTCTATGACTGTGCCTCTGGGTGGCTTCTGCCAGGATTTGGTAATTGCAGCATAATACTATTCCATGATTTTTGACTTGAAGTCATAAATAATCTTGTCTTCGAAAAACACCTTTCTATTATTCAGTTTTGTGCCTCACAGCACTTCCATAATGCTGCAATAATATATTTAATTTTCTTCCAAAAAGCAGGTACAGTGGCATTTTGAGATAAGATATCTGGGATCCAGCCATACATACTAAGAAAATGCTTAATATGAATCACCACTGCAACGTAGCATGCTATTCCTTTGGTATGGCACCATCATTAGTCCTTACTGGACAGTCTGAACAATTTGATGCCCCGGATGGAACACGTCAGTGT